TCCATTTTCGCTAGATATTTGAGAAACGTAGACCAGATCTTCCCATTGATACGGAGATAAAAATTCGGGTCTGACCATAGATATCTTCTATGGGTCTGACCGGTCAGGTCATTGAATGAAAGGGCCCTATATGTTATTCTTCATCTACTGTATATCTGGCTACATTCGACGAAAATTTGAAATAAATTCGCCGAGTAAAGGTAGATCTCCTGAAACACATGCCTAGGGTATGCCATGCCTGTAATTACCTTAAAATCTTACCATAGTTCTAGAAATATCCATAACAGCGAAAGCTGTTAGGTGGTCGCATTCACATATCAAGCGTTTACTATATAACTTGTCTTTTACTCTTTTACATCCATCTGTCTTCCACCTATTTTCACCTAATCTTGGTTTCCAGTATGCACATGTTTTGGAATCGTTCTGAAAGTAAAATGAATAATTCAGATCTAAAAATGTTGTTATTCAAGAAACAGTAAACATTATACCCATGTTTTTTGTTTCAGGTGTTATGCACACAGGTGTATTCGTTTGCATTCTATTGTATTCCATAATGACTGTATTCCAGGGTAGGTTATTATATTTAACAATTATTCACCTAATTGTCAGTGAATAGTGTAAGGATATTCACTTAAACGGGAAGCGTTGAGATGGACATCCTCGCAATACTCATGCACCTCCACTGAGGTGAACAATTGTTTAAGCATGTATCACAACAAAATAAAAATGACCAAAAAACAACGAATTGAAAATATTTTTAATTAAAACAATTTGTACTTCAATTCAGTTGATCCAACTGTATTAATAACAAATAATAAATAAATAATAAATATTATGCAACAAAATAAATTTATAAATACATTTGTTGTCTGTTGAGTCGCGAAATTTATGACCAAAATTCATTCATGCGCGTCGTCTGCGCATGGGCAGTTCTACAATGGTCAGATATTTCGCAAGTCAGAAATTTCGCGTTACACCGTAAAACTATCGTTGTAAACAAAACAGTATTTAGTAATTAGTAAAAGCTTTTAGTAAATTTTATTCATTGGAAATAGCTTTGAAGAATACCTCTACACACTGTTAAACAAAACTTTGTGGCTTCCTTCCATGAGGTATCTAAAGTAGTTGTCATGGCAACACGATAATTTTTTAAGATTTTTAATTCTTACAAACGAAAAATCGCCTAAAAATATCACTTTTAATTACAAAATTATTAATTTCCCAACATATGTATGTTAGGTATGTTATTATACGTAATATAAGCCTCAATTTAAGGTAAAATTCAACCACAAACGCTTCGCAAAACGTTTTAAAGTCACTAGTGTTCTTCATAAAACTAAACTGCCTTTTAAAATGGCTTTATCGATAAACTTTGAGTTTGCAATAAAATGATTTAAAATTCTTGCTTGCAAATAACTTTGCTTTCTTTTTTATTTATTTAAAAAATTCAATATCATAAAAAGAGAATCAATATTAAAGATACACTGAAATTATATGCTGTCTTGTTTAGTCGTTTCATATACACAAACCAAAGGCCGTCGGGTTTTAAATCCGTTATAAAATCAATAATTAAAACAAACTTACCTTCATTAACGTCGGCTCCCTTCTTTTAGCCGATTCTTTCGCAGTTTCTGTCTGAGAGAGCTTTTCAAATTTACAAAATCTTGCAAAAATGCGAGCAAAAATAAAGTATATTTGCAAGAAATTTATCACTCATAAAATCAAGAAATGATTGCTATTTCGCTGTCGTCATGCAGTCGTTATAATGCAAACTTTCAATTGGACCAATCCAGCCTCGTCCCTGGCGCTTTGATATGCTTACTGGTTGCGTGACGCACGCGCGGGAATCGAGGTGCGTTGCTCACTACGGGACGCGGAAGCGCCTCGCAGAAAACGTGTCGATTTCTGAAATTTCTGTCGATTTCTGAACTTTCAAAGCCATTGTTCGATTTTCTTGATTATTTTGCTTTATTCACGAGGGAATCATGGACGAGATCAGTGAATCTCTTCACAATATTTCTTTTGAAGGTAAATTTGTATGAATTTGTCTCATTATATATTTCAATATGATTTATTGTCTTGTTGACTGCTATAATTTTATAATTTTAATATTATGTGAACCAAATATTTATATGAAAATCATCACTGATGAACGTGTTCGTAGGGTTTTAAGGCTGCGTATGATTTCGGAGTCCTTTATACTGTACACTATATCAGTTCAGATCGTTTGAATTTTCTGAGTGGAATGTAACGATTCAAAATCAAGTTATTAAAATTGTTGGTGTGTATCGTCCGCCATCCTCTACTAGCTATCCTCAACCCGTGAGTTTGTTTTTTGAGGAATTTTCTACTTACCTTGAAAGTATTGTAATATCAACTGAGAGGTTACTTATTTCAGGCGATTTAATTTCCACGTAGAATCTACTGACGATACTAATGCCAAAAGATTCTGTGAGCTTTTGGAAACATTTGGTTTAACCCAACATGTTGCCTGTCCAACTCATACTTCTGGACATACTCTAGATCTTATAATATCTAGATCAATTAATGATGTGATTATAACTGAATTAGAATCTACGTTGGCTTTATCTGATCATTCGTTCATCGAGTGTAATTTGAATATGCCTAAGCCAAATTTTGTTGTTAAGGAACTTCGATTCCGTCAGTTGAAAAGGATAGACATCAGTGGCGTTGCTAGCGGTCCTGCTTGTCCTGCCCAGCAGGACTAAAAATTTCCCCAAATTTCCTTACTAAAATATTTTTTATTTATCTTGAAGCTTTAAAAATTCATCATTATCATATTGTCATTTTGTCTCATTTTCTGGTCTTTTCAGTTATTATTTTTAAAAAGTTTTCCGCATTCTATTATATTTACGCAATTTTACAGCTTGCCGTGTCTGTTACCTAGCAACTGCAACTCTAGAAGAGCTCATTTCCGGGCAATATATTGATTTACACGCAACTCGTATTTCAGTCCTGCCATTTTCAAATGGCAGGACTTGCTAGTATATTTCATAGTAAATTCATACAATAAATCGTGGTTTCTGATTGGATAATTAGGTCTGCGCATGCTCAAACCGGCTGTTTAGAAATGCGAAGTCCTGCTCTCTCGAAATGGCAGGACTTGGCCTTGTATTGTCTCTTCTTGCGAGCTTTCCGCGTGACTAGACACGTTTTAATAGGTAAGTGTATTAAAGGTGAGTCATATTTGATATTGTTTTTGAGGGTTTATACAATGGCTTCAGCAAGTGTGACGAATACAGCTTCTATTGAAGCCGATATCATAAGTGATTTGTTGAAAAAATCTTTTTCTGTTCGAGCAATTGGCGAACAGAATACTATTGTTAAGCAACGACCAACTCCGAAATTAACAATAACATCGAAGGGGAGAGCATTTCAGGAGAGTTGGTATGCGAAGAAGGATTGGCTTTGTGGCAGCTCTGCTTTAAAGAAATTGTTTTGCTGGCCTTGTCTCTTGTTTTGCCCTGGAAAGTCGCCAACGTGGACGAAGTCTGGCTATAACGACATGCATGGCTTCCTCTCTGATTTCAAAAAGCATGAAAGGTCAAATTCACACATGGGTGCTTTCAAGACCTGGAAGATGTATGGAGCTGGTGTGCGAGTGGATTCACTTATCTCCCAAGCGAGACGAGATGAAATTCAACGGCACAATGAAGAGGTAAGGCAAAACAGAGAGATTTTAAAAACTATCACTGAAGCTGTATTGTATTTGTCTAGACAAGAGTCGGCGTTTAGAGGCCATGATGAATCTGAAGACAGCTTGAGTAGAGGTAACTACAGGGAATTACTTGAGTCTTTTGCCAAGTTTGATTCTGTATTTGAACGTCGATTGCATGGCAGACTAGCTGAATCTGAAAGGGGTGGGGTTGGGGGTGGACGTTTTACTGGGGTTTCTCCTGAAATACAAAATGATTTAATTAATTGTCTTGATTCAATTATTGAAGATGAAATTTTTAAGGAGATCAATGATTGTACCTTCATGAGTGTGCAGGTTGATGAGACCTCTGATGTTTCCACCAAAGAACAGGTAAGTATGATTGCCCGTTTAGATAAAGGTAGTGAGATTGTTGAAAGACAATTGGGATTTGTGGATGTCAGTTCAAATAGGAATGCTGCTGCTATAACCCAGGTAATTAAAGATAAACTTAGCCAACATTCTGGAATCAAGGACAAACTAATCATGCAAACATACGATGGTGCTGCTGTTATGTCTGGTCATATAAATGGTGTCCAGGTTCAAGTACGTCAAGAGTATCCTTTTGCACATTTTGTTCATTGTGCTGCTCACAGATTAAATCTTGTTTTGTGTCAGTCTGCCTCATCTATTTCTCCTATCAAAATTTTCTTTGTTAATGTAGGTGCCTTTTCTACTTTTATTAACAATGCCCTTAAAAGAAAAGCATTTCTCACTTCCCATAAAATTGAGTTGCCCAACCCTGGTGATACTAGATGGTACTATCGAGCACGTGTCATCAATGTGTTGCACAAAAATTATGAGAACCTTTTAGAAATTTTTGAAGGAGTGGTTGACCAACCTGTTGGCTGGGATGATGAAACATTGGATAAGGTATTAATAGTTTCTTGTTTTGCTTTTCGGTATGTGTTTTTTATAAGATTTTAGGGCAATCATCGATTCTGTATTCAGTTCTCCAAGGCAGACAAACAGATTTTAATTATGGTATGACCAAAATTGAACGTTTCAAGAGTTTTGTTTCTTCTCTCCGCTCCGATGAAGCTTTTGATGAATTCTACCAAGAAGCTGTAGACAAAGTAGGACCACCAATAAGCAGGGCTGACACAAAACATAATTACAAGCAACTTTATTTTGAGATTCTTGATTCCATTGTAGGTATGTTAAATGAGCGTTTTCAGGATATGGAACGATTTGGATTTCTAGATCTTGTCAATCCTAAGGTATTTGCAACTTGGGGTGGAGTGGTGCCACCTGAGAGAATTAACCTTCTCAAACAAACGTATGGTCCCCTATTTGATGTACCGATGCTTGAGAACCAACTTTCTTTTATTTACAGGGATAAGGACTTCCATAAAGAAACTAGTGATGAATTACTAAAATATATATTTAAGTTTAATCTTCAATCTAGCACACCAGAAGCTGTCAAGTTGCTGAAAATGAATGGTGTTTTGTCAATTGCAAGTGCTTCAGTTGAAAGGTCATTTTCTTGCTTGAAAAGGGTTAAAGGTTATTTGAGAAACACAATGGGTCAAGGGCGACTCAGTTCTCTTTGTAGGATCTCAATCCACAAAGATATTGTTAAACTTAAGGAAGATGACAATGTGTTGCATGAGGAAGTAATCAAAAAGTTTGTTGAAAAACCTAGACTACTTGCCTTCCTTTATAAATGATGATTGCTTAATTGTATTTATCTTCACTTTCAATATAGGATGAGAGTAAGTATATACACATTTTTCTATGAAACACACTTGCATACAAAATCCCTTCCAAAACTGAGTATTCTACATGGATAGCACATGATGGTACATATAGATAAAAGCAGTTATTTACTTACTTAATATTTAGGGGAGATATCCAGCTTATCCACATAGATGTGGTGAAAATTATCTCCCTGTTCATACTGCATTATGTATGATCAGTCCTTACTCTTAGTCTTATTGTGCTCTTTGCATTTAGAAAACATGTGATATTCAGACTTTATAGGCCCTATGGGAAATATCCACATAGATGTGGCGAGTCTCCCTTTAATTTCTTATTTAAAAATTAATAAAAAACACAAAAGACAAAACACAAAAAAAGATGTAATATAATATATTCTAGATATATTCTAGGCCCTAGGGAAAATATCCACAATATTCCACATAGATGTGGTGTCAGTGGTGGGTACTGAGTAATACCACCTAAAACTCCCTGTTCATACTGCTCTGTAGTTTTATTCATGTTATGTATGATCAGTCCTTAGTGTGTTCTTTTTTGTTCCAGTCCTCTTGTTTGTCCCTTTAATTTCTTATTTAAAAATTAATAAAAAAACACAAAAAAAAGACAAAAAACAAAACACAAAAAAAGATGTAATATAATATATTCTAGATATATTCTAGGCCCTAGGAAAAATATCCACATAGATGTGGTGTCAGTGGTGAGTACTGAGTGGTACCACCTAAAACTCCCTGTTCATACTGCTCTGTAGTTTTATTCATGTTATGTATGATCAGTCCTTAGTGTGTTCTTTTTTATTTTAGTCCTCTTGTTTGTCTCTTTAATTTCTTATTTTAAAAAATAATTTTAAAAACAAACAAAAAAATATGTAATATAATATTCAGATATATTCTAAGCCCTATGGGAAATATCCACAATATTCCACTTAGATGTGGACCATGTGGTGACCCCAATAGTACCCATCCTGGGCCTGTGGGCCATCCACCTCAAACTCCCTGTTCATACTGCTCTGAATTTTTATACCTGTTATGTATGATCAGTCCCTAGTGTGCTCTTATACATTTAGAAATCAAGTAATATTAATAATATTCAGACATTTTAGACCACCTATAGCCCACAACAGTCAAAACAAATATAACAGTCAACAAATACATCTTAAAATACATCTGAAAATGAACTGCATATTGAGTTAGTATGTATGATTGTGACTGTGTGAACGACGTGATCAGTGTCCTTCATTTTTGCTATTCCGACTCATTTTGGCAGTGATGAGTGTTGTTTTAGTGCAACAGTGGCAGCTTTTTAGCATTGCCTGCATTGGACAACTTTGCGCGATTCTCTGAGCCGAATATTGTGTCTTGAATACCAAGAAATAAATTGCGATTGAAATATTAAATGCGACTATTTTTGCCTGAAAATCGTTAACGTGGGACGGGGATGGCGATTTGCGGAAGCATGTGCTTTGATTCAAGCGAGTCCGTTGACTCGGTAACAATGACCAGAAAAGCTCAAGCACAAAAAAATTATGAAATTTATTAATAAACCAGAGCTTTACTTCGAGTTGCAGTTGCTTTAAGGATGTTTTGTCACCTCCGTATTAAACTCCGAAAAAAGAATTATTGAATATTGGCGTTTCTGTAAGAACCTCCTTTAATTTTATCGCTAAAAAGTCCATTATGTGACTGAAAATTGTAAACATTTGTCACTTTTTATGAGGTTAATTTTTTTTAAAACCTGCCCTCAGAATGCTGCAAACAGCATTTTTGGGGGTTAAAAATCAAAAATTTCGGGGGGGGGCATGCCCCCAGACCCCCCTAGAAAGACTCACGCCTTCGGCGTTCGAATAGCAGGACCGAAAATTTTTCGCTACCTACGCCACTGATGAGTACATAAAAATATTGAGCACCAAAAATTCACACAACTTCCCCATCAGATATCTAATGGTCTACCTCTTACCACATATATTCTAGGGGGCCAATTTTGTATATTTTGTGTTATTTGCATCTCCAAAACTCCTACTTTTGTCCTACTTTTCTACACATTTTCCTACTTTTCCTAAAATTCTAGTCCTACTTTTCTACACAAGGATACCAGAAAGCCTGCAGATGGTATCACACCAAGTCTGCATGTGTGAAATCATTTGACGCTAATGTGAATAATGCTGGAACTGATATATACAAATTATGTCTTGCCGTTTCAATTGCTTGATGATTTAGAATACGACTTAAACATTACAAGAGGTACAACCTTTAGCCAAGATAAAAGTTTTAACCCATTTCAACTGAGTAATGATTTAGAATTATGTGGAATCAGCGCCCATCTGGACTCGTTTTTGACATTGACAAAATAAAGTGTGACTATTACCTTAATAGAAAATACATGCATGCACAGAGGAGGTTGGACAGGCGGTCACATGCACAGTTTAACCAATCAGCACAACGTATCTACATTTGCGCTTCACAACAAAAACAAAGCCAAGGAAATCAAAAAGCTTTAGAATTTGCATATTTTTCTCGCTATGTATGTAAATTTTCCTCGATAGAAATGCATATCTTGGCGCATTTTGTTTTACTGTTGAATATATTACATCTTTTGTCAACAAGGGCAAATAATGTTAGCCAATCAGCGCGTTTGTTTACATTTTGCGTTCTTGACCAATCAGAATGCCTGAAATTCGAAACATGTAAACAAAAAGAGTGAGAAAATAACACCTTGTTCTACGCCCTCGGTGAC